TCTCTCTCTCGCTCTCTCTCATCTCTCTTCGTCTCTCTCTCTCTCTCTCTCTCTCTCTCTCTCTCTCTCTCTCTCTCTCTCTCTCTCTCTCTCTCTCTCTCTCTCTCTCTCTCTCTCTTCGCCTCTCTCTCTCTCTCTCTCTTCGTCTCTCTCTCTCTCTCTCTCTCTCTTCGTCTCTCTCTCTCTCTCTCTCTTTCTCTCTTTCCGTCTCTCTCTCTCTCTCTCCGTCTCTCTCTCTCTCTCTCTCTCTCTCTCTCTCTCTCTCTCTCTCTCTCTCTCTCTCTCTCTCTCTCTCTCTCTCTCTCTCTCTCTCTCCGTCTCTCTCTCTCTCCGTCTTTCTCTCTCTCCGTCTCTCTCCTCTCTCTATCCGTCTCTCTCCCTCCCTATACCTCTCTCGAATCAATTTATCTCTTGCTAGCTATTTGCCTGACTGTCGTCTTTTTTATCTATCCTTTCATCTACGTGCGTATATATCCCACCGATATTAATCTGATAATATCTGTATCACACGAACTCTGCCAACCATCACAGGGAACCCAACCATACCAGTGTTAACACATACATCATCTCTGACATGTTATTGACATGTTGAGTTGTGGGGTAGTGTTAGCGTGGGGTTACCTAGAGGGGAGGAAGGGGGGTAGAGGGATGGGGGAGGGGGTGGGGGATACTGTCAGCGTTGGGGGATGTTGGGTGGGAGGGGGGGAAGGGCAAGGGTCAAAGGTCAAAGCGTTCGTGTGTGACCGCGTCCCTCAAGCCACGGGTGAGCTCACTAAGCACGGGTCTCCGAGGGTGTTCATGTAGGTCGCGTCTTGTGCTACCTAAGAACAACAGCTACGAACAGCGACACCGAGGGGAAGAAGGAGGGGTGGGAGGGGGAGGGGTGGGTAGGGGTGGGGGAAAGGACGCGGAAATATAGCTTCGATGTCTTGTTTTTTTGTGTGTTTTTATTTCGTTGAATTAATTTTGATTTTCATAATTCTCTTCTTCGTTGTTTCTTCGTGTCGCCTATTATTTCTTGTTATCCCGTATTCCTTGTATCGTCTTTTTTACTACGTATTGATTATTATCTCTTTTTTTCCTATTTATTTTTATTACTAGTTGTAAGTGTTAGAGATCGGCGGAATACAAGGGTTTTCTTTACCCGTAGAAGTCAAATCGCATGTTAATAGGGAATATTTCACCGGGACCTCTGCCATTAAGGGCACATTACGCGCCATAAACAAAAGGAAGATTAATCCAGACTTGATTTCCTTCCATCTACATCTCCCCCTCCCCCCCTACCTCTCCCTCTCCATCTCCCCCCTCCCCCTCCCCTTATGCAAAAGATGGAGAGATCGGGTTTCAAAACAACACAATGCTTTACGGAGGAAATGAGGTTATGATCCTCTCCTCCTCCCCCTCCTCCTCCTCCCCCTCCTCCTCCTCCTCCCCCCTCGACATCGAACTCCACATCACACCTGCTTATTACACAACGCATTTTTGTTCTCTTGTAAATTGCTCCCTTAACCCCATCTTCTCTCCCCCCCCTCCCCCTCCCTCCCTCCCCCCCTCCACTAACTCGCCACCTCCACCCTGCTCTTCCACCCTCAGTCTATGCCTCGTTCACCTCCCACTCCTCTTATTACCATATCCCCCCCCCCCTTCCATCCCTCTTCTCCTCTTCCCATACCAAAATCTTCTCCTCCTCCTGCTCCTTCTCCTCTCTCTCCCCTCCCTCTTCTCCTTCCCACCCACCATTTCCTTCCTCCCCATACCCCTTTGCCCCCTCCCCATCCACCCTCATATCCCTCTTCCTTCTCTTCCTCTCCTCCTCCCTCTTCTCCTCTCCTCCTCCTCTCCTCCTCCCCCTCCTCCTCCTCCTCCTCCTCCTCTCCTCCTCCTGCTCCTCCTCCTCCTCCTCCTCCTCCTCCTCCTCCTCCTCCTCCTCCTCCTCCTCCTCCTCCTCCTCCTCCTCCTCCTCCTCCTCCTTCTCCTCTTCTCCTCTCCTCCTCATACCCCTTTCCTCCCCCCTCCCCCTCGCCCCCCCTCCCATTACGTCGAGCAACGTAAACGAGAGAGGCTGAAGCCGGCAATAAAATTCCCGCTAGTTCCACTTACGACGTAAAACGAGTCTAATGGCTGACTAGCTCTTTCACTGCTCGCACCTAATTCATATACAAATAACTGAATAAGTATTTTTATCTATGCAGGTATATACATGTTGCATATATGTGTAAATATGTGCATATAACTATCTGTGTGTTTGTGCTTCTACGTGGTTTTTCTTTCTACCTTTGTATGCATGTGTGTCTGTGCCTGTCTTCCTGCGATATTCTAGCGGCGCCCCACGCTGAGATCGCAACCTTCTTGAACCGTTAACGAGCAGATGTAGAGGCGAGGGAGCGAGCGACTAGGTCAATTAAGGTAATTCACGAAGTTGTAAAATTCCCTAGCGGAGGCAATGCGTTTTTGTAATGTTTGAGATTGCGCTGAAAGGTTTTACTTAAAGGGCGCTTAC